TGAACCTAGGACTTTACATGCTCACCCCGTTCCCCTGTGTCTTCCTTTAGGGTGGGCTGCCCGCATGCGCACTGCCCCCCTTACCCTTGGGAAGTGAACCTATGCAGTGTGTTTAGGAAGCTGCACGCATGCCTATCTGAGGCTTCCTTTCCTTTTCCAGTGGAGTGCCCCCAGAAGGCCATACTCTGCCATTAGATCTCTTAATGTGCATGCCTGGGGAAATTGCCTCTCCCTGGTGCCTGCATTCAGTTAACACTTAGTACAACAGGTGTGGACCATCAGGAAACGGCCTCTCCCTGGCACTAGCTGCCAATTTATCACTGTTAGAGAGACGATGTGATAATTACCAAACCATCACCCGACATTCCTAGTGGGTGGGGGAGAGCCCTCTCCTGCCCCCGCTCATGCCTAACTACCTGTATGTGAAAATTGGCTACATAGAAATGTTGATTATATATTCCTCTACTGCCGACTTGTTTCTGAGCCCTTATGCATACACGTTGCTGAATTTGACATCCCTTTGGGAAAGCCATTAACAAAAAATTACTCTTTTCCCACGTCTTGATCCCTTTCCAACTCTCATATCAGTTCTCACATCTGTGACTTGGGGGTGGAAGAAACATGTCTTCAAGAAGCTTCCCCTCACCTCTCTGAGACCTGGTCACCAAGCCCTCAGGGTTCCTTTGTACCTTCCCCACCCCACCCCACTGCCATTTGAAGGTAGAGGTCCAGCATGGATAGTCTGGGACCAAAAAGCTGTTTTGTTCCTGTCACCACAGTTCAGTTGTTAGCAGCCATCTCCAGTAGGCCACCATTTTATCGGTTTGATTGCTTCAATCACAAAAGCCACAAGGACAAGTGGTGGACCAGGCTGTCCCTCCTGATCTAGCAAAATATAATTTTAATTCTTCAGACTTTTGCAACTCTCTTTGGCTAAATAGAATGCAGGACGATGCTCATTTGGATCCTACAGAAGTTCTGCAGGATTTATCATGATTTTAATTAACTTATCACATGTGTAGTCAGTTAACTTCTCTCCTTCCCTCATAACCGTGTAAGTGCCTTGAGGGCAAGGACTGATAATTTGTCCCCTGCTTCCTTGGCAAAGCCTGCTCATTGCTGGGATCTGCAGACACAGGGAATTCTTCCCCTCCTCTGCCCTCTCCTGGCTCCTTCCTCCTACCTCCTTACACCAGGGTTCTCCTGCCTCAGGGCCTTTGAACTTGCTCTTTCCTTTGCATGGAAGGCTCTTTACCCCACACCCACTTGGCATTGCATTTCTCCCTCACATACTGTATTTTGTTGCCTTAGCACTTACCACTATCCAGCATATGTACATTTTACATGTTTTTTTGTTTGTGTGTCGCTCCCACTAGAATGTTAGTTTCAAGGCAGTAAGGACTTTTCTCTGTTGTATTAAGCGCTGTATCATTAGCATCTGGAACAGTACCTGGAACACAGCAGCCTCTTAATAATTTGACATGTGCATGAATGGCCACCTTTCTAAGCTAAGACAGCCGTGAGTTCACTGTGAGTGCAGAATCTTTCAGGAGTCCTTGAAATCACTACCTCTGTCTTCTCTGAGGTCCCAGGCCAGATCCCCAAACACAGCAGGGATCCCTTGGGCATCTCAGACCCTTCCACTGCAAATTAGCACATAAAATATGCTGAACTGGAGTGGCCCCTAGAAATGTGAATGTTGTCCCAAGACTTGGATTCAATAATGATTTCGTCACCTTAAAAGTCTATCACATAATTTTGGTTGTGTATTTCCAAAGTTCATTTTCAGCACGTTTAGTCGGTTTTTGGAATAAAAACTTATTTTCCCATAGAATTATTTATGTTCTGTACCCTGTTGAACACCAAATTAGGGTTTTTAGGAATATATTTTGGCACCTGGAAATACATTAAGCTTCCATTTTTGTCTTTGTCAGCAGATTCTTCCAGGAGAGCTTTAAACCTGGTTGCTGCTGTTGGTTCACAGTGCCTAGAGCCCCTTCTGCCTAAGCCATGGACTCTGAAATCAGACCCTGCACCCTCCCTCAGTTATCTCATTGACTGGGTTTAAAACAAATTTGGAAGCTAAAAGCAACCAAGTCCAGAAGGCAAAAATGAGAACCTAAAATTCGGCTCTAAAGAAGACAAAAAGCTAGAGAGATGGTGTCTGAGAAATGGGAAAGTTTCTCCCCACGGAAGAGGCTGAGTTTCAGGGTATCTGATGGGAGGAGACTGCAGTTTCTCATTTGAGAGCTGATGGACTTACAACAGGTTAACACATTGTGCAGTTCTGCTGTGGAATATTGCAGTATCTTAATATTCCTTATTCTTTTAGCAATTAAAATTGTTAATAAGCATTAAGATAGTAATATTATAGTTTCTCAAGATTTAAAACAATTTTTTAAAAACATACTTCCCAAGGCATTTTATGCCATTATTTGTAAGTTCCTACAAAGACACAGATAATGCACCCTCAGTAGGTATTTTATGTATTTGAAGTTTGTACAATATAGTGTTTTTCAATTCATTAAGTGAAATAAGTAACAATTACATAGACACATTTTACACAGATATTTTTTTTTTTTTTCATTCCTGGAGGTGCTGATGAGGCCCCTTAGAGATTACTCTGGATTTTTAAATCTCTTTTAATTAAAATCATTCTACAAAAATTCTGATAAAGAATGAGGATTTCCTTGTTGTCACTACACCAAACCTTGCTTTAATCAATCAAGTCACTGTGAAGTGAGTTTGCTATCTGCAGGTAAAAGCTTGAAGGTGTTGACACTAAAAGCTAAGCTAGAGATTGAACAATACTTCAAATGAAGTCCTCAGCCTGGGAACAAAACGTTTTAAATGAAGCTGGCAGGAGAAAACAAATACAGGATGTGGAAGAACAATAGCAACAATGGAGTCGTTAACAGTTATTAGAGGATAACTGACTTCTCTGTTAGTAATGAAGATTTACAGCTAAATTAGTTTAAGAAAAGCGTCTTAACACCCTGCTTTTTCAAAAAACTCTTCACACCCTCAGAGGTAACCAGGGAATTCCAGGTCAGTTTTGATTCCTTGAATTAAATTCTGTTGAACATATATTTTCCTCTTCTACTAGTTCCTCAACTTCCTCCTCCTTTTTGTTCATCCTCCCAAGAGAGAAAATTTCTCCATCATGGCACTATGGCCTTCCCCTCTCCCCCCACCCCCAACGCTATAACCACATGCTCTAAAGAAGTTTACCAACAACATAAAAATTGCATTTCTGGTTAAATATCAGAAATTTCTACTCACGATTTAGTATGTTGTTGAAAACACAAGCAATCATCATTCATCTTCTAAAATAAGATTAATAAATGAGAAGTTCCCAACCATGTTTTCCAAGAATGACCTGTTTTTAAAATGTTAAATTCACAGTCAGCATGTGAGGGCTCCTAGACTTGCTTTTCCTTTTCTCTTATCTGAGGTTATGGACCTCAGGAGAGCAGGGGAGGGTTACAAGGTCAAAGTCTTTTCCTCCTTGGAACTTGCTGCGTGCTGGGAGAGGGCTGCCTGGAAAATAGATGCTTTAGAGAAGAGGTTGGGGGTCATGATTTTAATTCTGTTAAGGAACAGCTGGTTTGAGTTTCTTTCCACTTCTATCTCCTCCTCCCTTCCTCACAAATCCGTGGAGAGAGAAGAGTTTGTTCAGAAGGAACCGGCAACATAAAAATATACCTTCTATTATTGTAGTGCTTTCCAAGTGTCATCTTCGTTATGAAGTTGAATCTAAGAGCTAGAGAGATGGGCTAGATTTTATAAAATTAACTCTATCTGAAACATGACCATATCTTCAGCCAAAAAGAACCTTTTAAAAAACAGGATGTGTGCCTGGAAATTTCTTTTAATAATATTTTTCAACTAAAACTTTAATGGAAATAAGTACAATAAAGGCCTCTAGTGTATTTGGAGCCTGACTGCAAAGAGAGGAACATGACTGAAAGATGAAAGCAGCCAAGTGGGGGTGTTAAGTTTCTGGACTAGAGTCCTTGTCTACCTCCAGGTTAATATGCCTTCTTCATTCATTCAACCAATGTTTATTGAGTGCCTGCTCTTCCCACAATTCGTCTGGGGATACGGTGGTTAAGATATATGGGTGCTCCGATATATCTGCAAACAGGTGCAGAAACGTTAACTGGGTCCAATAGAGCTTTAGTCTGTAAGTATGGCTTCCTATTCTAAGTAGTTTACACAGTTTGGGATTTAAAAATGAGATCTGTTCAAAATAACATGCCATAATAAACTCATAAATCCAACGAATATGTAATAATAGTAAAACAGCTAAAAATAACACTAAAAATGTATAAAAAAACAGTAAAAAAGCACATGGTTTGATTATTTTTATTTAGGTTTTGAAGTCTCCCATGGTTTTTATCGTGCCCATGTGTACGTACACACACACACACACACACACACACAGAGCGAGAGAAAGAGAGAGAATAAAACTCACTTCTCTCAAATAATGGAAACCAGTAACAGATTTTTTGTCTGAGCTCCTCAGCACACTGGCCTCGGGCTGTGTTGGTGTGTGGCTCAACAGCAATCAGAGGTCATAATTTCATTGGCAGTTAGCATCAGGTTTAATTTTTCTAGCATGTTACATTTACCAAAATGTCTGGTTTCAGTTATGCTTAGGCACTGACTGAATCAGCTCTGAGCAGCATGATGGCTTAAGGTACCTGAGGTTTATGGAACACATATGCTAATTGTTTTCAATCACTTTCCTTTCTAAACACAAAAATGTGTTTTCTGAAGCTGAATAACAGTAGTCCTTAACGACATTGCTTCTTTCTTATAGGAGAGGACCCTAAGTAGGTAAAAATGTCAATTTTACAAGACTGCCACCTACTGATTGAGATAGTTGAAAAACACTCCAATTAAGGTGCTTTAAAAAATATGGTTTTTCCAAAACAAAACAAAACAAATTAGGAGCTCTTAAAAATTTGACATGTATCATTTTAATCACATTTTAGGAATGTGACCAAGTCCATATAGATGATGTTTCTTCAGATGATAATGGACAGGACCTAAGGTGAGCACCCTTGAATGTGAAGTGACCATCTCCCTTTTATAGTTTAATTACTTACCTAATTAAGATGAACTTTCTGTTTGGTTAATTTTGGGCTTTTCTTGCATCTAAATAGCACGTATAACTTTGGAACAGATGGCTTTCCTGCTGCAGCAACCAGTGCTAATTTATGTTTGGCAACTGGTGTACGGGGCGGTGTGGACTGGATGAGAAAGTTGGCCTTCCGCTACAGACGGGTAAAAGAGATCTACAACACCTACAAAAATAATGTTGGAGGCAAGTGATTACCACCAGTATCTCAGCGGGTTAAGATAGTCTAAATACAATTCCAAAAGTACACTTTTGTGTCACACTGCTTTGAATATAATAGGTTTTTTTAGGGCAGTTTCATCTCACTGGCCATTATTCTGCTGTGATTTAGTGACAGAAATATTGGACAGGAGCCAGCTGCCCTGACTATTCTAATCTAGTCCTGTTTCTGTTACTTTGTGATGTGACCTAGGGCAAGTTTCTTGACCTCTCCGACATTCAGCTGTCCTTTCACGGAAGGATTAGCATCCTTCGAAGAATTAGCAACCTCTGCCCAAATCACAAGATAGGTTGTAAATCTCCTTCTACCGGTAAATACTTGGATTAGTTTGAATCTTTTGGCTTTGGTTCATAATGGCTTCATCATGAAAATGGAATACAGTGACTTAATAATAAAAAGTTTAGGGATGAGGTTGGTTTCCTACATGGCTATAGGCAGATGCTGAAATGATGCTGTCCAGGAAGCCTGTGCCTTTCTTTGGATAAAGGCCTTTCTAGGTCAGTCCCTCCCCAGAGGTGGCAAAATGACCACCAGTAGATCCAGCTTTATACTCTACCAGTAGTTTGGCACCTCCATGAGGGGAGGGAATCTATTATTTCCTAATAGATTCAGCAAAAGTTCCAAGACTGACTTCCACTGGCCAAGCGAATGCTGTACGCCTACCCTGGGAGCCAGAAGGTGGAGTCACCTCTGCCCAAACTACAGTTAGAGGAGTGTGAGAGAGTAGGTTCCCCAAAAAGAAGAGATGACTTCTATAACCAAACCAAATAAATACTTGTCAAATGAATGATACTATGTGAAAGATGCTTTATACTATAAAGCTTGAGGCTAGTATTCACAGTACTCTTTAAATGTTAAGTATTTGTAAAGTCAAAGAAATATGTTGGTAAGGAAGTAGTTCATCATGTGCTTTTAAATCCTCAGGTCTGCTTGGTCCAGCTAAGAGGGAAGCCTGGCTGCAGTTGAGGGCTGAAATTGAAGCCCTGACCGACTCCTGGTTGACACTGGCCCTGAAAGCACTCTCGCTCATTCACTCCCGGTGAGGCTCTCTGCAGGGCCTTTGCCAGGAAACGGGCAATGCTCATGCTTGTTCATTTTGGAGATTTATTTTTCAACAGTCTTTTTTTTCTTTCTGTTCTCACAGGACAAACTGTGTGAATATTTTAGTAACAACTACTCAGCTCATCCCAGCACTGGCGAAAGTCCTGCTATATGGATTAGGAATTGTATTTCCTATCGAAAATATTTACAGTGCAACTAAAATAGGTGAGCTTTTTTTTTTTTTTTTTCCTTTTTAACAATCGGCTCTTTTCCTTCAGGGTAATGAAAGGCAATAAATGAAACTTTTTTTCCAGAATGCTACATAGGTCAAAAAAAAATGCAAGAATAATTTAACCAATTTGCAAAACTGGATTTAGACATGAGAGAAACATAAAGCATAATACATGTAGCTGAAGTCACAAAATTTTCCTTGACTGGCTAATGTTAAGACAAGGGCATTTTACGTAGAGTAACAGCATTGATTCTGGATTATTATCATATTTGTATCCTTTTAGGCAACATTAACAAAAATATCTGATTTTCTAAGCTAAAACAAACAGCAAGATAAAATTATACAAAGTAGAAATGAAACAACTAATAACAGATTTCTTTATTACTAGAAATATTTTTGTTTTTAATTCAATATGTATAATCAATTGAGTTTCCATTTTTGTTGGGGAGATTTAAAAGCTTCTTGCATGAAAGAAATATATTTGGGAGGAAAAGACTTATGAAATTTAGTTAGAATATAAATCAAGGCAGAATCAACATAGGGATAAAAAAAGACACGGTTCTTGTTCTCAAGGGAAACAGACAGTTACATAATGACAATCCAATATGATACAAGAGAATGCAAAGGAGCATTTTTTTCGTTATCTACTAGATGCCCTGAACTGTACTAAGCATTTTACATTTAAAGTCAATTTTTATAATCTTTCCATTTTTCAAATGAGGAAACTAAAGCTCAGAGACTTAAGTAAATTGTTGTAGTCAGTAGCTCACAAACCCAAGCCTCAAGCCTCATGTTTCTCTGATTCCAAGGTCTAGACTCCTTGCTGTATCTTACAGGGTCCTACTGCTGCTAAGTGCTTAAATGTGCACATGGCTGAGGAAGCATTCACTCCCACTCAGGAAGAGGCAGAGTGTCTATGAAAGCTAAAGGGAAGAAATGACGTTTGAGCTGGGTATAGAAGAGCAAGTAAGAGTTCAACAGGTAGATGGGCTAGTGAGAACAATGCAAATGGACTGAGAAATTAAAATGTGTTCCCTGCTGAGGGACTTGTGAGTGGCCCTGGGTAGCTAGTGTGCAGTGCTCATTAGAAGCCAAAGCTGAAAAGGTATACTTGAGTCTAGGCATGAACGGCCTTGTATATCACCATGAATGACTTTGTATATCACCCTAAGGAGATGAATGTTATTTTAGTCCAGGGGAAGGAGTATGAGCATTCTAGCAGGTGGCAAGAAGGCTGTCTTTGGCTGCTCAACTCCATATAATAAAAAGGGGCAAAAATGGAATCCCTGTAGGTCTAACTTCCATTTGCCCGCACTTTTACACTTCTTGTGCTTCTCCTTCAAAGCATTTACTAAATGATTACTAAAAAACTACTTTTATAGTTATTTGTTCATAGTATGACTTCCCCGTCATACTGTAATAATCTTGAGGACTGGGTTTGTCTCTCTTGCTCATCATAATAGCTGTAACACCCAGCACACAGTAGGTACTCAATAAATGTAGAGATGAATTTGTTGAATGAATGGCTGCATGAATGGCCATTTATTTTGAAGAAGGCTGACACAAGATTTCTTGTAGGAACCTGGGTCAACAGTGGCACAATTAACTGATGGGGAAATCAGGTTTGATTTTTATCAGTGTTGAGTTGGAAGAGACCCGATGGGGTCTTCAGTCAATGACAGGAAGACACACTCAGCAGGGTGCTGATGGGATTCATCCAGGCTAACCTTTCAAGTTAGAAATACATATCTGGAGTTTGAGAACAACTGATGCTTCCCAAGAAGGACCAAGAACAAATTGTTGGAAAATACCTATCAAAAAGCAAGAAATATATCAAATAGAATAAAATTCCTAGTAGCCTATTATAACCAGAACTTTTACGTGCTTTCATGTTCCATAAAAATAGCAAACAGTTTAAGTCATATGTTAATTCTATTTTCATCTATATCAATTAAGAGGAATTATATTGTGTCGTAAACAGGGATTGTGGAAAAGGTTTACCAGCACATGAAAGTTGGAACAAATGCCAAAGCAGCCCATAGTACTGAAGCGGGTAGCCTAGCTTCTCAGAAAGTAGGAATAGTGTATTACATAGCATGTGCATTGAAGTTTAATCCCAAATAATTTGAAAATGATAATATAATAGGAAATTACAATCCAGTACGCATTTTTTTAATGGGCATTTTGTTTATAATATTAAGCTTTAATTTTTTTCAATACAGAATAAAAAATATGTGGTGATAGAAGTAGGATTTCACCATCAAATAAGATATATGTGGGGATGAATGCAGACAACCCAGCAATTTTTTTTTCTTTTGACATGGAGTCTTATTCTGTCACCTAGGCTGGAGTACAGTGGCACGATCTCAGCCTGTTGCAACCTCTGCCTCCTGGGTTCAGGTGATTCTCCTGCCTCAGCCTCCCCGAGTAGCTGGGATTACAGGCACACACCACCATGCCCAGCTAATTTTTGTATTTTTAGTAGAGATGGGTTTCTCCATGTTAGCCAGGCTGGTCTCAAACTCCTGACCTCAGGTGATCTGCCTTGACCTTCCAAAGTGCTGGGATTACAGGTGTGAGCTACTGTGCCTGGCCCCAGTAATTTTTTGTTGTAGGCAAAATGCTAAAGTCATAGGAGGAGATGACTGGTATCTCATTTGGCAGAGCTATGATGACCTTTCAGACAAAATTGACTCATCAAAATGAATACTTCATATAAAACTAATAGTTAACTTCTAAAATCTAAGCTTCATTTTCTTAACCTCTATTGTGAAAAATTTCTACATGACCCCAAATTGACAATGAACCCAATAGAAGATAGTATATAGGCAAGGATATTTTTGTCTACCACAACTTCACCTTTAAATTACATTGAATTTACCTTCCTTTTTCCACAAGAGGGAAGCTTGCAAAAACACATAAGCATTTCCCTGTAAGAAGGGGAAAAAGTTTCATGACATTGAAGTTTTTGGTCATATATTTTTGCTATGAAAACTATGCTTTGTATTTGTTTCTTAAAGTGATTTAATATTTCACAGTTTAGTGGACAACTAAAGAGGTATTTAAATTGCATCCTTTGAATAAGGCTAGCTCTATTTCATTGTGTCAGATGCAAACTAGAGATTTTAGTGCAAAATACAAATATAAAGCAGACATTTGTTTAAGCAAACAAGCAATTTGTTCATGTGTATATCTGATCCTTATTTGAAAGAGGTGCAGGCTTTGCTCAGCCATTCACATTTGAAAACTATAAACTGTCCCATTGTCCATTAAAATGACCCTATTGGCAGTCCAAGACTTGGAACACCAGTTTCTTCTCTGAGAAGAAACAATGCTTGCATTAACCGCAGGGATGTGCTGACAGTGTAGCCGCCACAGGAGCCCAAACTAAGTCATGACATGGGAAAGATAATAGACAGATAAGGGTATTCTATTACCTTTATTCCAGTTTTCCTCCAGGAAAGTGCTTCATTGAACATTAGATGCCTGGGTAAGGCAGGTACCATCTTGCTGTACTACCCTAAATTATCTGACATTTATTTCAGAAGGAGTTTTACAAGACTACATCAGGCTTTCAGGGTCTTTAATTCAACCTGCAAATGAAGGAATATGCTAATTCCAATGTTTGTGTTTTCCTGCTAGAACAAAAACAAGTCCAGTTATTTTTTATCATTCTCACTAGTCTTTGGATCAGATATTTTCAGAGTTTGATATAGAAAAAAAATTTTTTTAATCAAGTTAAAATATGTTGCCAGAATTGCTGATGCTGGAGTTCAGCTTATATATGGGGGAAAAAGAAGTCCCACTGCAAAACAGTACTTTCCCCACCACCCCAACTGCAATGCTATGATTGACTAGATCCCATTTTTTAATAAAGGAGTCCTTGGGAAAGGAGTATTTAACTATCAGTTTTCAAAGGACAGGACGCCACACTGTTAATTAATTTGCTTTGTAATTCATTGTGCTGTGGCATATACAACCAAAGTGGCATAAAAAGCACTCCTCCTAGAGGCACAAGTGGGACAGTTGAATCAGAGCAAGAAGAAAGCATTTTATACAGAAACTTCAAGCACTATCACATTAGGTTACCCAAACTTCACATTTTCTATGACTTATTTTTGTTCACTAGGAAAAGAAAGCTGTTTCGAGAGGATAATTCAAAGGTTTGGAAGAAAAGTGGTGTATGTTGTTATAGGAGATGGTGTAGAAGAAGAACAAGGAGCAAAAAAGGTGAGCATTCCTAGATGGGGCATCTTGTCTCATCTGTTTTTTCAGTCCTCCGGATTCTCATAACTGGATTATTTAAACAGGTTCCATTTCTGTGAAACATACGATGAATATGTGCAGTACTCTAAGCACTGAACAGGGTAAAGTAGAATTCAATAAATATGGAGTGATCTTTTTGAATAGTAGTGTGCACAAACTCAAGAGCCACTAGTAGTGTTCATAGAAGGTAGACTTTGGGAGCAGAACTGAAGTGTTGTTAGTGGTGTAGCTGTCATCCAGAGCAGAGATAACACACGTGCCAGCAGGACCTTCTCTGTATCCATGGCAGACATGCCAGGTGGTTCAAACCTTGTTACCTGAGCCTGGACGCAGCCTAAGAACCTTGCAGACATCCTTCAGAAAGCCTCTACCAGTTGGTCAAAGCTGAGTTGGAAGATAAAACTATCTGCTGCCCCAGAGGACTCGATGTCTTCTTTATATCATGAGGTCCTACCTGTCTCTCTCCGGGCAGGGGGAAGGGAGTGGACCCAAGTATAAATCTCTTGACTCCCACTTTTCCCATTGCACTTCATTACATTCTTCTGAATCTCTGCAGGTGAAATTCTATCATTTCTCTGAGCAAAAGCTTTCTCGTTGTGCCTCTCATTGCATTTTTAAAAGCCAAGGGCCACCTTCCTTAGCCTGACACTGAGGGTCTCCACAGTCTGGTTACAGCCTGCCTTTCTGATCTGTCTCCCTCCCGTACCTTACACTGTAGTCATGTCAGTCCACTCAGCTTTCCTCGACCATGCCACATAGCTTTTCCTTCCTATTGTCTCTCCTTGGAATCTTTTCCCTAATGCCCTTCTGTCATTGTCTTATTCATTTGCAAAATTCAATTCATGTACTACCTTTTCTATTCTGTTTTTAAGAAATCAATTATTGTCATGCTCCCTTAGATTTTAACTGAAGGAGCTACAGTGGTAGATAGCTTGGATTCTTCAGCCAGACAGCATGAGTTTGAATTGTGACCCTGCCTGTGACTCTGAACAAGTTCTTATCCATTTCCCTTTTTTTGGTCTATAAATGGGATAGTAATAGCACTTAGCTCATTGGGCTATTTTGAGGATTAGATTTAGTTAAGATATATAACTCCATTAATATAGATATGTATAAAGTACACACAAATGGTAGCTATTGTTATTGTTTATGTGCCTGTTTCAGCAAAAAAAAAAAAAATGTGAGCTTTGCAGATTCAGGGATCTTATTTTGCTTGGTTTGTTGAGACAGTCTTCAAATTTTTTTGTAACTCCCTAAATCTTGTCATAGTTGTACTCTGTAAATGTTTCTTGAATTGAAGAACAATTAAATATTTTATGGGATTAACCAACAGCATAATTTCCCATTACCTTTCTTACACACTCACTCATAGGAATCCATGTATATTTCCATAAATGATATAGTATTTCAGCCCTTCTGGAATATTTCAGCATATACCAGAAATAGCATATAAGGTCACCAGATTACAGATGCAGCACTGAACCTGAGTATGATACATGGCCAACCTTCCTACAGGCTCTGAAGATGGCCTAGTTTACCTTCAGTGCCTCTGAGTCCCACCAGATGCATAATCACTGACCCTAATTTTATAACTAGATAATTTCATAAATACCCATAGATAAAGAATGTATCTCAGTCACAAACTTGTGTGAATCTGGTTGGTGCTGATGGAAATCCACACATGACTTCAGGTCTCCTCATGCTCAATGTGAAGCAGCATTTGCCATTTAAGCCATAGTTCTAATCTTCCCACTTCACCGATGACCAACACTAGCATCATTGGGTGCCTCTGTTACCCCTCTGGGCTGTCTTTATAAAATAAAACCTTTCCCAGACTAAGTCAGAATCCCCAAAACACAATCCTGGAGAGTTAAAGAGAATGTTTTCCAAGATCCAGACTCAAATCTTCTTTCTAGGAAAGCCTCTGGAATTCCCAAGCCATTCCTATTCAGGACCCTCCTAGTGGCCAGCAGGGCAGGGATGGAACAGGTTTGCACCTCTGACCAGTATGGCCCTAGGCCAAGGTGTGAATCCATCTCCAGGCTGGTCCTTCTCCCTCTGGTATCCACCAGAAAGTTTAATATCAAAAATTGCCAAAATGTGGCTTTCTTGCTTGTGGTAGGCAGAGAGGGATGCCTATGAAATTGATTACTTAAAATGCAAGGAACACAAGTGAAATCCTTTGGATCTTACCCAGGTTTCTGTGGGTGAGTCCCTTCCTAAACCTTTCTGATACTTACAATTTTTAGAAGTTTGACATCAGTGAACACAACATGGCAAAAACAAAGGAATTCTTGGTTTGGTGTTAGAATTGAAAGTATTAATAGGACTAGAGTATTTGCTGTCTTTGAAGAGCAGTTAAGATTGTTTTTCTTTTTTTTTTAATTATACTTTAAGTTCTTGGGTACATGTGCACAATGTACAGGTTTGATACATAGGTACATATGTGCCATGTTGGTTTGCTGCACCCATTAACTCATTACATTAGGCAAATGCTGACACTTCCTGGTAGATTCTAATCCTGGCAGCTTTGACAAACGGGTGCTCAATACATTTTGTTGGTAGAGCGGACATGAAAATTTTATGTATTTCTGATGTAACGAAACATTTTAGTTAAAAGATTTCAGTTAATTTTTATACTGGAAATAGGCTGAGGTTCGTTTTTGGTTGCTTTTGTTGTTGTTTTGTTTTGTTTTTGTTGGTTTTTTTTTTTGAGAAAGTCACCCTCTGTCACCCAGGCTGGAATGCAATGGCGCGATCTCGGCTCACTGCAACCTCCACCTCCTAGGTTCAAGTGATTCTCCTGCCTCAGTCTCCTGCGTAGCTGGGATTACAGGCATGTGCCATGATTCCTGGCTAATTTTTGTATTTTTAGTAGAGACAGGGTTTCACCAGTTGGACAGGCTGGTCTCAAACTCCCGACCTTAAGTGATCCACCTTCCTCTGCCTCCCATTGTGCTAGGATTACAGGCATGAGCCACTGTGCCCGGTCAGTTTTAGTTAATTTTTAATTTTACTGGAAACAGACTGAGGTTTATAATTTAATTTTTAAATCTATAGACAGTTCCTAAATGTTTGCCTCACTGACTCATAGTCTTTAGAGGGTTTCCAATTACTTCCATGTATATTATAAAGTTTTAATACTAATTTAATACACATTGAATGTTGGTGATGGCAGTAGGAACAACCCAATAAAACAAAATTCAAATGCTGGTACAATTCATTTACAACAGTACCAAAGAATAGATAAGGTGTACAGAAGTATTCTATTACAATTATTTGGAAAATCCTTCTTTGTACAAAAGTATTCTATTACAATTATTTGGAAAATCCTTCTCTTTTTTTTTTTTTTTTTTACCTTCTTTCCTAGATCACTCTGATAATAAACTCTGATATTTGTGTTTTCTCAACAACCAATCAATAATTACAGAATAGAATTAAACATAGAATGGCTTTTAAAAAGACTGTTTCTGCTGTTTATCTTTGGACATGTCTTTTTTTTTTTTAATATAGGGAACACACAAAAAAGAAATTAGGCAGCCACCTGCAGAAAACATACTCTGAATTTTTTGACCAAATGAGTCCTCCTCGCTTTCCATTTTTATTTCATGGATGACTGTATGTGATAAGAGCCCAAAAATATCTGCTGTAAACCACTCTTTGTACCTTGAGAACTGCTGTGTGAATGTGTAAAATGGACTAATTTTTCACAATATCTAAATTTCTGATAATCTTGTAAAAGATTCAGACATCATCAATTTACAACTTCGAGTGAGATGTTGATTACTTTCTTATTTTCTAACTTTATTGAAGGAGACAGGTTAACTAGTATATAAATAGTCGTCCTTGTGTATGAGTTAAGAGACAAGGATCTAATCATTTGCAAAAGATAATGAGTATCTTTAAAGTGGAGTGCTACACAGAAGGAGAGAATACTTAATATTTAACCTACAGGAAATAATTTAAGAGGAGAAGCTCTCTACAGTTCAACAATATCTCATTTTTAAAACTACATACGAAAACTCAAGCTAAAGAAACTAAGAGATGGCTTTCTATGCTGTAGGATTAATAATAGTAGTAAGTAACAAAAATTGCTACCAGGCCAGGCTCACACATGTAATCCCAGCACTTTGCGAGGCCAGGGTGGGTGGATCACTTCAGCTCAGGAGTTTGAGACCAGCTGGGGCAACGTGGCAAAACCCTGTCTTTACAAAAGATATAAAAATTACCCGAGCATGGTGGTGGGTGCCTGTAGTCCCAGCTACTCAGGAGGCTGAGGTGGGAGAATCACTCGAGCCTGGGAGGTCAAGATTGCAGTTAGCCAAACTCATGCCACTGCACTCCAGCTGGGATGACAGAATGAGATCCTGTCCCAAAGAAAAAAATGCTACCAATTATAAAGCCCTTATTTTATCCCAGTCCCTCTTTTAGGCCTTCCCATCCATTTTTCTCATTAAATCCTCATAATCCTATGAAGGAATCCTTAGACCTATTTTACAGATGAGAAAACTGAGGCACTGTAAGAGTGAATAATTCAGCCAAAATCACACAGCTAGAAAGTAGCTAAATTAGGATTTGAACTCAGTTATTTCCTCTGACTGTGAGATTTCGCAAAAAGTTTCTGCAGTCTGAGAGTGGTGGCTCACACTTGTAATCCCAGCACTTTGGGAGGCTGAGACAGGTGGCTCACTTGAGCCCAGGAGTTCGAGACCAGCCTGGGCAACATGGTGAAACCTATCTCTACAAAAAGTACAAAAATTAGCCCAGCATAGTGGTGCTGTCTGTAGCCCCAGCTACTCGAGAGGCTGAGGTGTGAGGATCACCTGAGCCTCGGATGTCAAAGCTACAGTGAGCTGTGATGGCACCACTGCACTCCAGCCTGGGCGACAGATTGAGACCCTGTTTAAAAACAAAAGTTTCTTCAGACTATAAACTACATTTATATATCATAAATATGACTTGA